AGACAGGCTGAGAGAGTTGGGGCTGTTCAGCCTGGAGAAGAGAAGGCTCCAGGGAGACCTCACAGCAGCCTTCCAGTGCCTGAAGGGGCTACAGGAAAGCTGGGGAAGGGCTTTTTACAAGGGCTTGTAGTGAAAGGATGAGGGGGAATGGATTAAAACTGGAAGAGAGAAGATTCAGGTTAGACATTAGGAGGAAATTATTTCCTGTGAGGGTGGTGAGACACTGGCACAGGTTGCCCAGAGAAGCTGTGGAAGCCCCATTCCTGGAAGTGTTCAAGGCCAGGTTGGATGGGGCTCTGAGCAACCTGGTCTAGTGGGAGGTGTCCCTGCCCATGCAGGAGGGTTGGGTCTAGATGATCTTTAAGGTCCCTTCCAACCCAGACCATTCTGTGATTCTATGATTCCTGAGGATGGTTTAGGAATTAGCACAGGACTGTGTTGATTCCCAGTGTCCAGGTTGGATGTGTCTGTCACCTTTTCAAGGGTACAAGGATTATGCCATTCCTGTGCAAGATGTGCAGTGCTAGTCACCCTCAGGACCAGAGAACAGGTGCTGGCTCATTTTGTTGAAAAGTCCTGATGCTGCCAAATTGCCCCTTCTTGCAGCATTTGTGGCCCTGATGAGTGGCAGAGCTTTTCATTAATTTCTTCTTGGAGACTGAACGATCTGGCTTTGCACTTTGGCATCTTTGCACTCAGTGCCTCCAACTGGTATGTGGTCTACCTAGGCAAAAGCCTTGATGGAGGGAGGAGGCTGCATCAGTGCCACCCTCCACCCCTAAATCATCACTGAGAAGCTCTGTGTGGACTCCTGTGTCATGTACCATCGTCACCTTCTGCCTGCTGCACCATCTCCTCCTGCTTGGACTGGGTCTGAATCCACCTGAGATTACTGGGATGTTACAGTCAGAAGAGATCAGCAGTAGCAGATAATAAAACCCAAGTAGATGTGGGTTGTTTGTTTTGTTGTGGTTTTAGTGGTCTTATTCTCTCAAGAGAGGAGTAACACAAAAGAAAGGACTGTGGAGACTCTTAACAACTAAGTACCAGCAGCTAATCTCAGACTGGATCAGGCCGTAAATGTGTATCTGCTAGCTGAAGAAACACTGCTGAAGTAATGGTGGTGGTAGCTCAGGGAGCCTTCAGCTTTTTCTTCTTTTGTTGCTGGCTGCAGGGAGGGCTGGCTGGACCTCACCTGGCATTTAACTCTCCAGAAGACAAGCCCTGGGCTCAGGCTGCCCATCCTGGAGCCTGCACTGCTGTTGAGCACCCCCTGAAGTAACAAAACCCTTCAGTCTTCCATGGATTTGGGGGCACCTCCCAGGCTTCCCTGTCTCACTGAAAATCCCATCTCTGCTGTTTGGACGCATGTTGGGTGTAGCTGTGGGTGCAGCCTCAGGACTGTGTGAGACTTTGGGACACATTTACAGTCCTGGCCAAGACCCCAGTCACCATCCCGGACAATTTGGTCCTGTTCTGGTTTCTTCTGCTGCCCTCTAGGAAAGTGTATTTTCTCAGACTCTCAGTCTAACATGTAAACACTCCCCTGAGCCAGGAACATTCACCCAACTTTCTAAGGGAGACCAAAGGAGTGTATCTTAAGTAGGTAAAATGTGTGCTCCATGGGAGGTGAACTTGAGTCTGGCTTTGTTACCTGTTAAGAGTTCCTCCACATTAAAACCTGGGGTGGAGAGAGTTTTATCTGCATCTTTTAGTAGAAGGGGGACTCCTTGGCCACCTGTGCAGTGCAGTCTGCCTTTGGCAAGGAGAGACACTTGAAGCTGGGGGGAAGGAAGAG